ATACTAGTTCTAATACCTCCACTTCCCATCCAGCTCCCTGCTTGTGGCCAGGGAAAGCAAATGAGGATGGCCTAAAGTCTTGGAACCCTGCACCCATGTGGGAGACCTGAAAGAGGCTCCTGGTTTCTGGCTCCTGGCTTCAGATCAGCACAGCTCCAGCCATTGCAACTGCTTGGGGAATGAATCATCAGACAGAAGATCTTCCTCTCTGTCTCTTCTTCTCTCTGTATATCTGACTTCCCAATAAATATAAAATACATCTTTTTTGAAAACAGAAGAGATACAGCAGAGAAGGCCATATAAGGACATAGCCAGGAGACATCTATCTACAAACCAAAGAGAGTGGCTTCAGGAAACACTAAACTGGATGCCACCTGGGTCTTGATCTTAAAGCCTTCAGAATAATAGAAAATAAATTTCTGTTAACCCCCCCCCACCCCCAGTCTGTGGCACTTTACTATGGCAGCCCTAGCAACCTTAAAGAAAGCATGGAAAGATTATCAGTCTAAATTTCATTTTTCAAAATGTCTCTGAACATGGTCCTCCTGACATGATTGATGTACTATGACCAAGGCCCAAAACTCCCAGAGCTCCATAGGAAAAAACTTGAATGATAGAGATCAGCATTAAGCAAGTTGGTGAAGGTTAATGAAAGTTACACTTAATATACTAGGCAGAAAGCTTTGCACGGCACCAACTGACCCATCTATGTACGGAGTGGGGTTCTGTGGCTATGAAGTGACCCACCTGTGTACAGAATGGGGATCTGTGGCTATGAAGTGACCCACCTGTATATGAAATGGGGTGCTGAGGCTGTGGAGTGACCTACCTGTGTATGGAGCGGGGTTCTGCAGCTGTGAAGCGACCCACCTGTGTACAGAATGGGGATCTGTGGCTATGAAGTGACCCACCTGTATATGGACGGGATACTGAGGCTGTGGAGTGACCTACCTGTGTACGGAGCGGGGTTCTGTGGCTGTGAAGTGATTGTCCTCCATCAGTTGCCCTACTCTCCTTCTTTAAGAATAAAGTTGGGCAAGAAGTCTGTGGAGCACAGGACTCCTTCCTTGAACACCATCAGGCAGCTTCTCTTCTCTCACATCTGGGCTTCTATTTGTCTGTGCGCCCTAATACTCACACTGGGATGACTGAATTATTTAATAATCATTTACTTCAGTAGTTGAACCATTCTCCAGGCCTTGGAGTAGGATTCCGCATCAATCCTAAACACTTCAATAATCTGCACAGCATTTCAAAGTAATTTGTCCTAGAATCCAGATCTTCCAACAAGAATGGGACTTTCTCAATTCAGCTATCTTAGATCCTCACGTGCTTTTTTCCTGTCCTGGATACCATGCTGCATTTTACCTTTAACTCATTCCTGAACATTCTCCTCAAGGTATTTACACATCAAAAAAGGCTAGAAAAAAAAATAGGCCTAACTGGGAATTTGAGATTCCATTACAGGTCAATCCATGCTAAGGAACTAAAGAGGAGGGGGGGCATTTCAGACAGAGCAAAGTGTTAAGAGTCTTTCAGATCTGACACAGCTGTTGATTTGAATAGTCATGCCTCCCAGGGAATATAGTAGAAAATAGAAAGCTCTTTTTGTGTCACTTGAACTTTAGGGCACATACACAGCCAGACTTCGAACCCTAAGTTCCCCAGACTGACACAGGGGAGCTAGAGGGAAGCCTCAAAGGTCAAATTAAACCACCACATCTGTGTCTCCACCCAGGAGGCCGAGAGCAATAACCAGTGCCAACTGCTCTGGGATTCCCTGACTCTTACCCAGTGTAAGAAGAAACAGAGCAGAAGGGCCAGCTTTGTGATACATGGGGTAAGGCCACGCCTAGCATCCCAACATCTCATACAGCCACTCTTTCAAATCCTGGTTGTTCCATTTCTGATACAGTTTGCTATTAATGGTCTGGAAAATTTTTTTTGACTCCTGCACCCACCTGGGAGATCTGGAAGAAGCTCCTAGTTGCTAGCTTTGGCCTAACCCAGCCTGGTTATTGCAGTTATTAGGGGAGTGAACCAGAGAATGGAAGACCTCTGTCTCTCCCCCATTTCTGAAACTCTGATTTTCAAATAAATAAATCTTTAAAAGAAGAGCGGAAGGAAGGAAGGAAGGAAGGAAATAGAGAGAGAGTAGAGATTAGGGAAAGAAGCAAGGAAAACTGCAGCCCCAACCTTCCAACTACCTTAATTATCTCTGGAGTGCATCTACCCCTGGATTTTGTTTTATAAATAAAGAACATGGCTTTTATGTATTTAGATATTTTCAATCCCTGAATGTAACTGAAGTTAAGGACATTAATTAATTGTAAATCACTCTAATACTTGAATGTGAGGCCTCTCAGGCCTGAATGTGCAAATTTATGTAAAAACAACATGAAAATTAGAAATGCATTGGCACATTTTTAACCATAACTGTAGCACTCTGTCTAGTCCAACAGACTGCTCATTTGCAAGTTGTCTATATGCAAAACATTCTGCCCCTGGGAGCCTAATATCTCCTTAGCAAGTCATCGGAAATTTGAGATGAGCTTTGTTCTGAACCTGCTTCCGGCTTGGTTCCCCTTCTTTTTTCTGCCTCCATCTCTGTAAGCAATAGGCTCAGTGTGGAGAACACTTGAGCATCCCAGCAAAAAACAAAGCCCAAGCCACGCATGAGGCTCAGTCTGGCAAACCTATGTGCGTTCTGACGAGACAGTCCCATAGGTTGGCCTTGTCCTGCAACTCCCTAAGTTTTAGAGAAATTTCTAAAACCAAATCTTCCAATACGCAGAGTTCAAATTTCCCTTTGCATGCATGGTTTTGTGAAATAAAGAAACTATTTGCCATGAGGTCCTAGGTGAGCTTTCTAGCTTTCAGTTAATGTATGAGGTTCACCAAAGCATGGCCAACAGGCAGGAAGCTGGTCCACATGCACCTGCCACACCCAGTGCCGGACAACAAGAGAGCCAGCCTCACAGCCCCCCCACACAGCAGCAGGGGGAGCACTGGGCTCTCCAGTGCTTGTGGCCAGCTGGCATATGAGGAATAAGTGACTCAGAAGATAATCAAAGATGCTTGCAGAGGCCAGCAGGGCATGGGCCAGGCAAGCCGAAGTCAGGAGTGGAAGCAGAGGCCTCTTTGGGGATTACCCAGTTTATTATTTAGCTATTGGGGTGGAGATGGTTGTAGGAGAGACCAGACTACTGGCAAACAGTCAGACCAGTGTAGCTGACCAAGTCCTGTATCCCTCAACCTTGCCGTGCAGTATGACAGCAATAGGACCCTGAGAGGCCATGAGCTGCCACCACTGAGTGCAAATCGCTGTTGTCCCTGACCAATGCAGCTCCAATTTTCCTCAGATTAAAGGTACATCCCTAGACACCTAGACACACTCAAGTTATAAAATGTGAGTGTGCCCATATGGAACTGTCCTGCAAATGCTGTTTTCAGTTGTGACCAGTAGGTGGCTTTCCACCAGGGTAAGTTACAGCTACACAAGGCAGGCAGCAGTTTTGATACTCAAAGTAAAGTCCCAGATCATGCAATGGAAGATCAGGTATGAGCTTGTCAGAGCACACCAAAGCCCACTCCAAATTCTAGAGGCAGGAGCTGTGGCTTCACCAGGTCTGGGGATTCCTGTGCACACAAGTACTGAGAAGCTCTGTTCTAAGGTTGCACTACACGTTTCTACCAAGCCACACCATCTTCAGAGCCACAAAGCTGAGTCGCAGCATTTGTAGTCACCACTTGGGTAAGCTTGCCTAACACACTTCATTTTCCCAACCCTCCAGTCCTCACCTCCAAAGTGAAGATGCTAGTTCTATGACGTTTAATTGACACGGATAGTAAATTGGAATGTGGCGTACAAATTGTACATTACTAAAAGTATTTCATTTTATTCCTGTGCTGTATTCTGACTCAATAATTTCCTTGTACAGTCCTGGAAACAGGAAAATTTCTCTTCTCCCACTTTTTTTTTTGTCTTCCCTATCCATCTAAGTATCATGTTCTTTTTCATAACAAGGTTAACTATTTGACATTTACAAAAATCCATCTCCCTTGGAACTCCCTGCCACCCCCGCCCTCCCCACACACACATACACAAACACACAAATCTCATTCCTGACTCTCCATGCGCAAAGAGATCCTGTCACTTTGACCTAATCCTCTGAGGTTCATCCCTCTAAATAATTGTATTGTCTCCATAAAGCACTTTGTTACCACGGCAACGCTTACACAATTGCACGTGCAGGTTAATGAGGGTGGCTCTACAAGTTCTATGTTTCCCAGAAGGAAACAGTCTACCCTCCTGATATTATTCTCTCGAAGGAGTGCATCCAGCAGGGACTTTCTACAGCTCATGTAATTTTTTTGCATGAGCACCAATGACCAAGATGAGGAAACAGAACAATACAGCCAAAAATATGTACTGAAGGATGAAAGTGGAGTTCTGGGTTCCAGTTTGGTGTCTGACAACTCATTTACAATATAAATTGGGATGAGGTGTTCAACTTGTCAGGCCCCCAAATCTCCATATCCAAAGAGAAATGAGGGAGAAAAATGCTTTCCTGCACCTCAGCCCCTACAATATTTAGTAATCTCCAGTTACATTTAAGTGTCACAGCTTAAATTATTCCACAAACCTTCCTGGCATTAAACATTAACAGGGATATTTTCTTGTAGCACAGTTCATTATCATGCCCATAAATGATTAATTGTAACTTTATGTGTGGACCAGTAATTCTGCTGGACTTCTATGATTCATTATTTGTGCTGTGTTGTAATGTTACTTCTTGAAACTGACATTCTATGGTTTATTGTTTTTTATGGCTTCTCAAAGGTGGCTTTTGAAGGAGACACTAAGTGACACATGTTTTAGAAGAGTTTAAAAGTTTGACCCAGTGGAAGTTAGCATTACGTTTCTTGGCAAGCCACAGTGCCAGGTCCAGGAGGCCAGTGTTTGCACAGACACCACCGTGTGAGCAGCAAAGCCAACCATGGCCACCATGACTTCGGGCTGTTCGGCCAATGCAACGGTTTGTGAAGGTGACTCGTGTGTGGCACCTGAGAGCAACTTCAATGCCATTCTCAGCACGGTCTTAAGCATCGTGCTGACCATCCTATTGGCCTTGGTCATGTTCTCCATGGGATGCAATGTGGAAATCAAGAAGTTCCTGGGGCACATAAGGCGGCCATGGGGCATCTTCATTGGCTTCCTCTGCCAGTTTGGAATCATGCCTCTCACAGGATTTGTGCTGTCATTGGCCTTCGGCATCATGCCTATCCAGGCTGTGGTTGTGCTCATCATGGGCTGCTGCCCAGGAGGAACAGCTTCCAACATCTTGGCCTACTGGGTGGATGGGGACATGGACCTGAGGTAAGTTCCCTGTCACTCTGGCTGTTGCATTATATGGAACTGATCTTTTCCAAAGCCTGTAGACTCGTGAGAGTCCATCTAAACTGCTGCAGATCTCAGATGGAACTAAGGAGTGAAAAAGGAAAGAAGACATTCATGTACCCTTCAGTCCAGCTGCTTTGCTGTTAGAATTTGGAGCTTGTATTTTGTTTAGATTTTAAATCCAACTTAGTTCACATGGAGTTGTATGGTTACTTATTATCTCTTGGAGACAATTCAGAGTTTTTAAAAGAAAGAAAAGAAGGTAAGGAGGGAGGAAGGGAGAGAGAGATAAAGGAAGGTAAGAAGGACAGATAGAGAAAAGGAAGGACGGAAGGAAGGGAGGAAGGAAGGAAGGAAAGAAGGGGAAAGAAGAAAGATGTTTTTGAACCCATAAGCTGTAGGCTGTAACCAGGGAAGGTTTCTCTGTTTGGGGAAAAATTTCCTAGGAATAAAACCTAAAGAAAAGTTTCAATTTTGCTATACTTCTACCTGCAGAAAAAAGGGGGGAGAGAGAAACTCACAAAAGCATCTAAAATTACGCTTACCTTGCTATAACACACACACACACACACACATGGTCTCCCTGGTTCCCACTTAATATTCTAGATATAATTATTGCCCAATTCATGTCATGCCAGTTTGAGCAGGCACTGAGGAAAGAAACAAATAGCAAGAAGCAACAGTATTGATGTGAGCAGACTGAGTTTAAATTCCAAAAGTTGAATAGACAAATGCCTTTTTCCTTACCTTAAAAGTCCTCATTTATGTGAAAGTTGTGCATTTCTGCCAACCATTCAGGTATTAATGTAATGCGTGTTTAGCAAAAACTGCAGTTTGGCTAAACTATCTGAGTTTAGTTTGCACACTGTGCAAAATGAGAGAAGTACAACATATAGAAATGTAAGCACTGCATTGATCAAGTGCCTTGTGAGCTGTTAAGGCTTTGCCATCTCCTCTCAAGTGGTGCTGATGTCTCCAGAAGCTTACTGGGGAAGCAGGAATCAAATTAAACTCACACACAAGGGCATTTCAAAACAGTTATAGAAAGTAGAATTTTAAATCAAGATCATTTCGGTGTAAAAATCTGAACTATTTTCATGGTAAAGGTCCTCCAAAATGTTATGCAAAGGAGCACAGGTTTGACCCGGTGGTTAAGAGGTCAGTTAAAACAACTCTTTCTCCTATTAGAATGCACAGACTGGAGTCCCATCGTTCACTCCAGTTTACTGCTAGCACGGAATCCAGGGCACTTCAGTGATAGAGCATGTCATGGGATTCCTACCTCCCATGTGGGAGGCTTGCATGCAGTTCCCAGCTTGTGGGTGCAGCCTTCTGCGGCACCTGCCGAGGGAGACAGACAATGAGTGCTTTCTCTGTCTGATTCTTGCTTGTACTTTGCTACTTTCTCACTCTTCTTTTTATTTCTCCCCCTCTACCTGTAACCCTCTATTTTTCTCTACCTCTCAAATAAGTTAACTCCATTAGCACATGTGTTAAGAAATAACTATGCCTAAACTTTTAGCATATTTCCACCAAAATGACTTTATCTTCAAATTCCCATTCTCATACACTTCATGAAGTATGCTTGTACTTTGACATATAAGGAAGCATAGTTGCTACCTTCCACTATATGCTTCAGGGAATTCCTGCACATGATCATAAACATGGCAAGTGTTGTTCAGGTTTAGAAAATCTGTGAAACTGTATTATAACAATAAGTTCTTTTGAGACTTCAACTTAACTTCATCTGAAGCCAGCATTCTGAGGGCTCGCAACCACTAAACAGAAGGGAGTGAATTGAATTGAACATGCTACTTTCGACCTCCACTGAATAAATTTTAAATAATATTTGCAGCTTTTGACCAACGCAGAAGGAACTTGCACCTCAACACCGTATCATACATGAATCACTTCACAGAATGGCAGAAGTAGCTGTGATACTGTGGGCCTGACTAGATTCCCACAAACTCTCTTCAGCAGGCTGCAACTGTAAAACCGAGTCCGCAAACTCTGAAATACACTTTTCTGAGAGTTAAAAAATCTTACTTATTTTGAAATAGGAGATGATTATTTAATCTGTCTAAAATACAATAATCCCTAAAATTACTTTTCAAATAAATAAAAATCAGCAGAGAATATGAAACCATGTGGAAAACTTCCAGCTGAATTAGATAAATTAAAGCTTCAACAAGTGCATACATGCCCTCAAAGGTACATACAGCAGTGAAAACTTCAACATTCACTTCATAAGATGTGCACACTACACATTGCTCATATCTTGCAAAGTACAAATAAAATCAACATCTGTGAGGGCTGATCGTCCCTTTTCTAGAAATCTCATCCACTGAGAATGCAGTTAAGACATGGTAAGATTTGGCATGACTGACATAATCCCCATTTAATCTCATACACACTTTGATCAAACCAACTTAGCTTTACTAATTCTGAAGGTCGACTCTTCTATCCACCAGCACTCAGGGTCATGAACAAGAAGACAGACAACCAAAATGCCCACACAGCTAACACAGCAAATCATAGAGCATGGCAATTGCACTGCTTGTTCTAAGTACAAACAGACCCAACAAAAGCCTAGAAGACATTGCCATATTGTAGCACAGCTACTAATAATGCTTATGGCCGTGGACCTGAACATTGAGAAGAGGTTGAATTATGCTGTTGTATTAAAAGATGTCTTTGTGCTTTGCACATGTTAAGAAGAACATATTCAAATATTCTTTTAAGGTAAATTAAGGGAGTAAAACTTCAGCTACTGGATAACAGTTTTTCAAAACTTTTTATTCTTCTGGAGTGAATATTGAATAGCTCAAGTCTCATGATAATTTATTGAAGCACAAACCTGTACTTCTGTACTCAGACCATTACCCCTTTCTATTTGAACTCTTAAAATGACAAATCAAAACATGATTGTTCACAGTAACAGTAGCCTTCGCTGGTTGCACTTACACATTACACCTCATTTCAACTTCCCTGGACATGGTTCCAAGCACATCATTTCTTCCCAGCCTGGGAAGACACTGAGTTTTGGAATCTCTAATGACTTTTAAAATCGTCCATTTCACTTACACCTTGAAATACAGCAAGTGATAATTCCGTGCTTCTCTAATCAAACCAGAAACTTGGCATTTGTGAATCTGATCAGTGCACAGAGATTGTCACTTAAGTTATAACAGCACCATGAACACCAAAGTGTGAGGGAGACAGGAAGGCATGTTTCAAGTGAATCTTCAGGTGCCAAAGGCCTGTAGCTCTGAGGACACAGGCCTCCCACTGCAGCATCCTCAGCAACACCATGCAAGGACTTCTCCGTTTCTTATCATCAGTGTTTCTTGAATTCACTCCTCTACATATTTGTCTGTCTTTTCCAGAGCATTCACTCTCTGCATGCCTTTTTATTATTTTCTATTACTTGTTTTTTCTGTTACATTTGTTGTCTTTAGCCACATGTTTCATCTTCCCGTGACATGTTCCCTGTTACTCAAGTTGTTCTCCACAGTTCTATCCTTCTGGCCAATCAAAAATCGAAGCAGTTCCTTCCATGAACATCCACATCTTCACTGCTCTGGAAAAACTTAATCCTATTTGAGTGTTGCCGTTATTCTTTCTCAAGTGATGAAGCTTTTTTTTTAATGTGGTATTAATTTTTATTTTGTTAGCAAAATTCATCAGATAAAATTATGTACCATGAAAAGTACTACATCTAATCCCTCAAAGGCTTGTGCTATTATTTTCCGCATTTCATAGATAAATTGGGGGCTCAGGATCTTAACCAAGTTCTTTGAATCAGTGAATATCAGTCAGAATTGGAATTCACATCAATACACTTACCCCAACCAAACTCCGAACTTGCTGCTCAGAAGCTTCTGCAATGACTAACCCCACCTAAATATACATCTATTAATCTTTCAAGGTAGATGTAATTTGAAGTGTAATTTTACAGTCTTTCGCATTGCTTATAGCTGATTTCACTGAATTTTACAATATTCTCTAATTTTTCATTTATTTTTCCCTTTGTTTCCCTATCAAACACAATATTTCTCAACTGGCAGTCGATAAAGCTAAAGCCAAGAATTTAATGCAAAAGATTATTTTTATTTTGGTCTACGGTGCTATTTCCTCACATTAGAATATGAATTAATGGTAGTATTTAGAACTTAACATTTTTTCACATAGAAAGTTTTTGCTACTTTACTTCTGTTGTCCTCTCCGACGCCGGTCCTTCGTTGGTGCGGCAATGACTTCCAGCCGCCTAGTTTGTCATCCCCCCTCATTGCCTCTCATCAGGAGTATCCACTCCGTCTGTCATCTCCCTTTCCAGCTCCCGCCTTCGCACTCTTTAAGGTCTCTAAGGAACTGTTCTCACTAAATGCAAAACAATAATGCAAGTTCAAAACTTGTAGTAATTCAGAATTGAAGCTAAGACATTTTGAAAGGAGAGAAACTTTCTTCCCTCTAAAAGCTACTTTCATAGTTTACAGTAAAATATTCTCAGCCTCCTCCTCGTCACCGTAACTCAGGAAAGGAGTTTCATTCTAGAAAGCAAATTGGATACCTACGTAGGAAATTATGCAGAGAGTTTAAAAATCATTATGACATACGTTTTAATTAAATAGAAGAAAGAGAGGGGCAAAGAAAAGGAGGAACAGAATAAAACACATTTTAAGTTCCAATACTTTAGTTACCAATCGGACAAAGTAAGTAACAAGTAGCATTTTTCTGGCATAGGACTCCACTCTTGCAACTGGTTCTATTGCTAGCTCAACTTAGTCATGACCACAATAGACTATATATCCTGACAAGTGTAATACACACATCTCTAGCATTTACTACTATTTTTAAGGCATTTAAGATTTCCCTTTCCCCCTTCCCAAACTCCCACGCCACCAGCCAATTTCCCCTATAACATTACAGCAGTATGGTCCTTCATAAACAGTCATACGTCTATCATTCTGCTATTTAAGTGCATGCTGACATTGTAGGCATGAACAATGGAAGAGAGTCCAGCACCCTATTGTTAAGATACATTCAATGGGTTCATTAAGAATCCATCTTTGATTTGGAAGTAGAGATGCACAGTGCATTGTATCTTCACATCTGGACACGAGTCTCTATTACACAGTTACCACACATTCCCTTAGATTAAAAAAAAACCATAGGGCCCGGCGCGGTGGCGCAGTGGTTAAGGTCCTCGCCTTGCACGCCCGGGATCCCATATGGGCACCGGTTCTAATCCCGGCAGCCCCACTTCCCTTCCAGCTCCCTGCCTGTGGCCCAGGAAAGCAGTCGAGGAAGGCCCACAGCTTTGGGACCCTGCACCCGCGTGGGAGACCCGGAAGAGGCTCCTGGCTTTGGACAGGCATAGCATCGGCCCGTTGCGCTCACTTAGGGAGTGAATCATCGGACGGAAGATCTTCCTCTCTGTCTCTCCTCTCTGTATATCCGCCTTTCCAATAAAAAAAAATAATAAAAATAAATCTTTTAAAAAAACCATAAAACAAAATCAACAACAGGAACAAAATCAGAAAATGTACAGCACTGTGATGTTAAATAACATTCAATAAAATGACCAATGTGTCTCTGAAGAAATGAAAAAGTATTTTTAAACCCATTTTAAATAAGGATTTTTTTTTTAAGTGAAGCTGAGCCCTGTGTAAGCCATGTCCCACCCTTTATTGTGCCCAAACAGCTCTGATTTAGATGCACTCCAATGAAATTCTTCCCTTTCAGCCGCTTTCTTTTGTGTCCCCTAGAGTTGTTGTTGCAGTTTGGCAGGAAATATGAAATTTAGCACACGTAATGCTAATCTTAGGAGATGACTCGTGATTATCGCTAAGCCACAGTCATTGGGAAAAGCTCTTTCTGGAAAATGGAAGTCTCTGATTCTATATATGTTGTAGTGAAAGATATCAAATACATGCCCTCTTGGTTGTTCAGACAGCAAAGGTAAGGAATGCCTTGCACTGTTCTAACTACTGCACATTAGTGGCTCATTTAACTCTTGTCCTCAGGGAGTGTGGTGAAGCAATGTCGAGTAAGTAGCCCAAAGTCACATACTAAACGGTACAACCTGCTTCTGAGCCAAACAGTACACAGTTGCAGAGCCAGTCCCTGTGATACCCTGGTGGAAGTTTGTGCCCCTGCAATATAAGAGTTCTGAAGATCAAGAGGACCCATCACTTCATATCCCTCTTCCACCCACTGTCGAAGTACAAATACCAGCATCATTTGATACTGAGTCCTCCATACTAAATGCTAAAATCCACCCATCAAACAGAGCCTCCCAGGAAAAGCCTTATGTTCACACTAGCGACAAAAGCAAGCCCTGGGTCTTCTGAACACACATTTCATCAAGTGTTAGGGCCTTTCCCACTCCTAAAACTCCAGAACCACCCGGCCTTCTGACAAGCTTTTTACTTTTTTTCTTTCTTTTTCTATTTTTTCTTTCTCTCTGTTTTTCTTTTTTTTTCCTTCTGTCTTTCCTTCCTTCTTTCCTTCCTTCTTTCCTTCCTTCCTTCCTTCCTTCCTCTCGCTCTTTCATTCTTTCTCACTCTTTTTCTTTTTAAATCAAACCATCACCACTTAGGCAATAACCTGCCTGCCAAATAAATACACTGTGGTGTCCTCCCTTAGACACAAGCTCTCCCTATTGAGGTCATTGTCACACCAGCACAGACCTATGTGTCCAGTCTTCAGGAGTCTTGGCCAGTGCAAACATGCTTCTTGACTCTCTGATGGGGATTCTACAGTGGCATCACAAGGCACGCTGCAGTTAACTTAACTAGTTTAAACTGTCTGTTCCTCTTCGACTGTCTCTGATTCTTGAGGCCAATGCAAGGAACGGATGGCACAAGGCAAAGCAGAAGGACACCAAGTATAGCCCCTTTTGCCCAAGGCCAGGTGCTGCACAAAGCTGGTTGCATGTACATTTCTGCATATCCTCCAGATAAGATAGTGGCTGAGAAAGGCTCTCACAGGACTTTCTAATCATTAGTTGAAAGTGAAGCAGCCACACCCCCAGAAAAACAGGTGACAACAACCGATGTGTCTGCTTCCTTTCAGCGTCAGCATGACCACCTGCTCCACAGTGCTTGCCCTCGGAATGATGCCTCTGTGCCTTCTTATCTACACCAAAATATGGGTGGACTCCGGGAGCATCGTAATTCCCTATGATAGCATAGGTAAGTAATTCCTCTAGAAACTGCTGAGCCTCACTCTTCTCCTCTCTATATAGCCTCTGCTAGACTTTCAGGCCAAGGTTCTCACACCATCACTATTTCACGTTTATACAAGTTGCCATTTTCACCCAATTAGAGATCCCTTACAATATTACCCCCTGTATTTGCATGATTATTGAAAGAATGTGAATTCCAAGTTTTGACCAGAGGGGAGCATCTGATTTTTCCTCAATTCAAATAACCTGGAAAAAGAACCAAGTTAATAGACTGTAGCCTCCTTCCTCTAGGTCCTACTAAGGCTTCTCAGGCTGCCAGGACACATGGAGATTCTGCTGTGACCTCGTCACACAGTATGGCGAGTTTATCTAATAGCAGTTCATATTAGATGATGATTTCAAAGTATGATGCCTAGCAGCCATCACAGATGTCACCTAGGAAAGCATAAGGCAAAACATTTTTTAAAAGATTTCTTTATTTTTACTGGAAATGCAGATCAGATTGGCAGAGAGAAGTGTCTCTATCCACTGGTTCACTCCACAAATGGCCACAATAGCTGGAGCTAAACATACCCAAATCCAGAAACCAAGAGCTTCTTCCAGGTCTCCCACGTGGGTGCAGGGTCCCAAGGCTTTGGGCCGTCCTCCACTGTTTCCTAGGCTACAATCAGGGAACTGGATGTGAAGTCGAGCAGCTGGGACATGAACTGGTTCTCATATGGGATCCCATCACTTACAAGGATTCAGCCACTGAGCCATCATGCCAAACCTGAAACATTTTTGTTAGCCTCAACTCTGAGCAACAACCCTGATTCACAATGCGAGGTAATGACACAGTCTGTATTGTCTGCCTTGGAAACCAACTTCGCAGATATGTCTCCACTCATTTCATCTCTCATTGCTCAGCCCCATCACAGGGGAGATTCTTTTCTCTCTCTGGGAGAACAGATAATGAAGGGAGATTAAGTCGTGCAGGTAACATAGGGATGTGTATCTAGGGAAGGAAACTTGAGTTCCTGGACTATTCAAAGCATGCTCTCCCATAGAGCTGCCATAATAAATTAGGAGAAATAGCCAACATCTCAGTACTGGCCACTAAGTACATTACATGCTAAACAATCTTGAAGCTGACATTAGACACAAGTGCCATGTTGACCAGCTATATTCAAAGGGTCTGTTTTCTGTGAAGGGGCATCTTCAATAGAAACGGTGATGCAGAATGTGGAGACCCTAGATTAAAAGCACTTCTACTTTCTGGCCTGTGTGGTAGTGTACCAGGTTAAATCTCTACCTACAGAGCCAGTATCCCGTGTGGGTACTGACTCAAGTTCCCGTGGCTCCACTGCCCATCCAGCTTTCTGTTTATGACCTAGAAGAGTAGCAGATGATGGCCCAAGTCCTTGGGCCCCAGGACCCACATAGGTGACCCAGAGGAACTCTGACTTCAGGTTTAAGACAGGCCCAGCTCCAGCCATTGCAACAACTGGGGAAGTCAACCAGCAGATGGAAGATCTCTCGACTTTGTCTCTCCTTCTGTGTCTTTAACTCTGCCTTTACTGTACTGGGCCCTGTGCTTGCTAGCACATGCAAGAACCTGGTCTGGGAACACCTCAAAGTTTCTTGGGGGATCCCCCCAATCGAGCTTTCGGACTCAGAACGCTAACCATCAAACTACAGAGGACAGAAAGTCAATCAACCACCTCAGCTATAGTTGGCAATGAGAATACTGAGCAGAGACGCTATGATGCACTATGTCGATCAGTGGAATCTCCAACAAACGCATCGTGCTTGGAGTGGTGAGAGTGGCAGCAATTCAGAACTATTCAACTATCAAAACCACTTGGGCAAGACCCTCGGAACATGCCCCACATCTGGGACCTGGGATGGGTGGGAGACTGGGTGGGGCTTCTCCCTTAAAATCTCCTTTTACATCAGATACATTAAGGAAACAATACAGAACTAATTGTCTTACCCATCTTCCTGTAGCACTTGAATCTTTTTACCCTAATTATGTCAAGATTGTCAAAAATAATAAACAAAAATTAAACATTATTTTCATCCCTAACACAATTTCTGTGATTACATATAAATTAGGGTATACAGAACTAAGTGAGGACATATTTTGTGAACATTAATTAGGGATGATCTGTCCTGCAATGTTTTCATTTAGACTCTTCTGTATCCTGAACTCCTGCCTTTACCACTGGACTAAGAAAACTAAAAAGTGATCTCCTTTGCCACACCTTATTCAGCACACACCCTATGGGTTTTTCTGTAGAAGATGCTTCTATTTAGTTTTCTATGGGAAATTCCTCTCTGTCAAATATAAACTCCTGAAAACAGATGTGAGAATGACCCTCTCTAACCACCTACCTACACCACGTGCTACTGCTTTACTATCTCCCCAGACATCTGCCCCTAGAGTTGAAGAATCATTTGTGTTACAGTGAACATTGCCAAACTCTCCATAAACCTGCCTACTAAGGGAGAAGTTTTGATTCCACTACAATTGCTGTTTTAAGGAATGAATGTAAGCCTTGAAATAGTTTCCTTGTGATTTTCATTCCTTATTGGAAATGCCTTCTTGGAATATTGAGTACTCTACTCAATAATATGAATGGCTACATGTCCTTTAGCATGAAAAAATTTTGAAAGGAGGAGAAAATTAAAAACCAATTAACACCCCCAATGGAAGAAAACATCCTTTCCAAAGAAGTCAATGAAGAAAACGAAAATAAATGGTGAGAGCAGTTGTTAAGAAAAGACACTAATCCTACGTGTCCATCATAATCATGCAGGCCCAGTCTCCAACCTCACTTTTGGATGTTGCTCTTCTACTCATTTTAATTTGGAAAGTCAACAAGTTGATTGCTACAGAAAATGTCTTCACTAACTATATCATAAATGAGCAAATAGAAGCTGAAGCTGCTTAATCTGTGCACCATCCCTGTGCAGCTGGTAGCAGCCTGCTGGTCAACTCTCCACCCTCCTGTGCGATCAGTGATTGTCTCAAACGACTCTCACCTAGTTCCCAGCACGATCTGATGATTCCATACACTCCTGGGGAGTCTGCCCCCTCAGACACTGATGTTTGCACAGAGGGGCCCCTGCACAGATGGAACAACTTAAAAAAAAAATAGCTGCACCGGATTAATGTACGGATTACCGATGTCTTTCTTCCTCTCATTTGAGAGCATCCCATGTGGAGAACTTGACATCCAAGTTATCATTTAATTCTCACCACGACAGTGTGAGACAGATATCACTTTTCACTGCTCTGTCCATTTTACCATAGGGAACCCCAGCCTCATAAGGGTTCGGTGATCTGCACAGCTTCCAGTCTGTGAACAAAGCAAAGTTTCGCTCCAATCCTATCTAACTCCAGTTGCCCACAGGAGTCTGCTCACCCCATTCTTTCCTGCTCATTTTTCTTTCTTTTTTTCCTCCTATACCTACTGGGAAAACCTGACTGGCTAACAACTGACAGTTCCAATGGCTGAACTATGAGCAGGTGTTTTTTTCATCTACACTGACCAGAATTTTACATAGAAATCACAGCTTCTCAAGGGCTTTTCAGAATGCTCATGGGAAACTTTACATGATTTTAAGATTCCATTTCCACCAACTTTTAGAAGTCCACCAAATGAAGAGCAAAGAAAGCACACAGATCCAAGGCTAAGAGGAGAACAGGTCTCCCAGTCCACTGAGGAGAGGACAGTAACTGCCTGCCACCTCTCCCAGCAGGAACCATGGCTGTCTATCCCAGACAGCTCCAAGTCCTAAGAAACTTCATCTGGCTTCTTCTGATCAGGAGGGGAAATATGTGTCTGCCAGATTTCAGATTTTGGCCAGTATTCTACTTGCCTATTAGTACTATTGCCCCATAGGAGCAAGAAGAGTCCCAGAGACGCGTCACGTAAAAAGCATCTGATCAAAGCTTACTACCCTGCATTCTAAACACAACATCTGCACCCAGAGTTGAGCTAGCATAATAAGATGCAGCTGCATCGATATTGTTTCAATTTAAGGCCCATCAGCTCCACAAAATCCAGAGAATGGTCTAGACATACAGCATAGGAAATATTTCCCAAAAATAGCTGGGTGCAAAAATAGTCAAAGGAACTCTTTCTGGGCCATCTTACAAATCATCAGTCAATACCCTCTTCCAAACCCTTTGTCCTACCATTTTCTCTTTCCTCCCTCCTATCTTTGATTTATCCCTGCTCTTGATTTAAACCCTTGTCATTCCTTAATTTCACCAAATAGTTTCTAGAGAAAAATATCTCCTGACCTTTGTTTTCCAGGAAACTAGAAGGCCACAAAGAAATTATGCCTTTCAACCATTATTTTAATTTTAAATTGATATTCGGTCTTATGATCTAGAATTTATTTCCAGTCCTAAGTCAGTTTTTCCCAATACTTGGCAGATTCTACTTTGAGAATTTCACTATTCAATTCCACCTTCTCTTATTGCTTTCAAAGAACATTTGAAAAAGAAAACAGTCCATGAGATGTTAGAAATAGTTGGTGCTATATTATATAAAAGCAGCTGTTGGACAAATGTGTATTAAATAGGAAGAAGAAACAAACCATATGTCACAAAAGCAGCAGTAAATTTAACACAGTGAAAATGAAGTATGACTCCTTTATCTGGCTGGGTGAGCACACTGCTTTAAAGAATTATAATTACATGTGAGGTGGCCAAATATATCATCTCACAGAACATTTATAAAGCATGTTTTTTCACTCTCTTCTCTCAACACTCTGCCATAGATGTGAATCACTAAGTTAGCTTTAACTAGAAATCATTAGCTCTCAAAATCCCTGAAGATCTTGAGTTAATTTTGAATATTTTATTTCTCTCATTTTAAGATATTATAAAATATTTCTTTTCTTGTATTACCATGAAGTAACATGGATATAAGATATAATCTATTTGTACAATGAGAACATAGGTACACACACACACACATACACACACACTTACTTGATCTCGGCCAAAAGGTTGAGAAGCAATACACACACACACAGACGTACACTCAATTTGCCGAGTTATTTTTCCCTAGGATAGAAAAATTCAATAGACAAAAAGTAGCCAAGATTCTGACAAACCGAAAACTAAAGCATACTGGCAGCATCAGGACGTAAGGAAAGCGTTTCTATCTTTAATATTTACAATTCTCTGCCCCTAATAATAAATTGCTTGCTTGAGTGTGTAAAGAAGTGGAGTGCGAGTGTGTGTTCTGTATTCTGCCTTGTGTCTTCTGAAGGGAGATGCAAACATGACCAGGGCCTTCTTTAGCTGCTAATTCTAGATTACCCTCTTTCCTGTGTTGGATGCTCTGCTGATTCACCTGCTCTTCCGCCATCCGCAGGTACCTCCTTGGTCGCTCTGGTTATTCCCGTTTCCATTGGAATGTTTGTTAATCACAAATGGCCCAAGCAGGCGAAGATCATACTGAAAGTAAGTTTGCCATGGTATGAACTGCGTAGTTACACCTTTAATGATAATTAAAAACATACAGCTGTTTTAATCACTAAATTATTTTATTCTCATATTCTTAACTTCCATGGGGGCTTGACACAGTCCCCTGTCCTACAGGACAAATTTCTGCCAACCTCCATTCTGTTCTCAAAGCCCATTGGTGCTCTAATTTCTGAGTTTCTGTCATAATACATCTAGACTACTGTAGTAGAACAAGAACTTATCTTTCTTACCTCTGTGTCTGTATGACCAGTTCAGTGTCTTGTAGAGGCTCTTGCCTTTCACCAATAAAGCTCTGGCTAAATGGTGTGGGACTGGATAGAGATGTGAGAGACAAATTCTGCAGAAGTCGTAGAATAAGAGACAGAAAAGCTGGCTGCTCTTCTGTGCTTCTCCAAACAAAGTTATGGTATTTAAGTTCGTTTGAAAGTAGAAAAAGGAGAAAATAAACACAGTAGCTTATATTTACATTTGTCCACTTGACTTTTACTGAGTTCTAAATCCATTTTCGTATTATTACAACAGCCATGAAATGTGGTTGGGAAAGATTTTATCCCTGACTGCAAGCAAAAAGAATGCAATTCAGAGGGGTTCATGATCAGCCAAAGGAGCTAGGACGGGAAGAGTTTCATCTGGAAGCCGAGTCCTCTAGACCTTTACAGCACGTTTGCTTTCTCCCTAACAACTGTCACTTGCAAGCTGGGAAATCTTCAGGCGTGATGATATGATCTGCCCTGTGCTTTTCCTGAAAGTGAGAACACGGGACAAAGCCCAGTCCTCCCAGTGGGCTGAGCATACCGACTGCTGCCCTCTATGGAAAGGAGACTGCTAAAGCTGCATCTCTGACAACAAGGACATTTCCTTGGACACACAATTGCTGGACTCACTTACACATTTTTCCTCTAGGTTGGATCAATTGCAGGCGCAATCCTGATCGTGCTCATCGCTGTGGTTGGAGGAGTATTGTACCAAAGTGCCTGGATCATTGAACCCAAGCTGTGGATTATAGGGACGATATTTCCTGTGGCTGGTTACTTGCTAGGTTTTCTCCTGGCTAGAATAGCTGGACTGCCATGGTACAGGTATGGTGTTTGGATAAACCATATTGGGAATTTACATTTCTAACAGTTGTTATATTGGGTCTGGATTTAGTATATCCTATACCAGATATGTCATTCCCAAAAGCCTAATTCATTTTTAAGTTATGGAATTCACTCAAATTGCTCAAGAATTGCTCAAATTCTTCTAGATCATTCTTTATCAGGGCTTTTCCATCGTTATATGTTCTTATTCACCAAGCAAAATGAGTTTAACAGAATTGCTGATGAGGTTGGTATTATAATATCAGAGGGTTCTCCCAGGCAGCAACAGAATAAACTCATCACACAAAAATGCTGAATATTACAATGAGTTTAACCCTTATGGATTTGGCACTGGGTAAAAAAATTTTCTCTCCTATTTATCCATCTCAGTCAATAGGCAGGGAGAAGCATGTGTAAGAAGGGGTGCACATACGAGGCTGGGAACAAGAGGTGCAACACCCAGCACAGGGAGACCACAATGCTGGCACCAGGCAGACCTGGACTTCACTTGAACCCTGCCACGCATCAACTGTGGAGCCCAGGCCAGCCACCCACTCTCTCTGAGATTTCTCACTGATAGAATGTAGAAATTTTTACCCTGTAGGTTTTGAAGTCAGGATTTAATCAAAATAAATTTAATATAACAGCAGAACAACTTTCTCTGTGTCTGCCCTGTTACCAGGGACATAGGAGAAGTAAACCACTTTTGCCTTTTATGGGGCAATATTACAAATGAGCCTGCTCCCAATTACACATGCATTAAACATGTTTATTTGTATTATACACAAATGAGATTTTATATATTTTTATATATAAGATTTTACATATGTGTTTATATATCAATTACAATATTTGTTCAAAAAAGTCATTGATCGAGGGTATATGGCATTTGCATATTAGCAACAAAGACAAAGCACCTCTGACGTATGTCTTTCCTCTCATTCCATCTGCTTTCAATGCTCTTCAGCACAAATGGAACAGTAAAGGAACAATCTGCTGTGTGCGTGCTTCTTGCAGGTGCCGAACAGTTGCTTTGGAGACGGGGATGCAGAACACGCAGCTGTGCTCCACCATCGTGCAGCTCTCCTTCAGCACTGAGGACCTCAACCACGTGTTCACCTTCCCACTCATCTACAGCATTTTCCAGATTGCATTTGCAGCGATATTCCTGGGAAGTAAGGAAGAGCGCTCACCACAATTCATTATGATACTCTTCTCTGTAAAATCCTGGAGTTGCTGAGTTTTGTTTTTAAAAGCACTCATTTTTACATGAAAGGCATCTTTCTACACAGAAAGAGATCTTCTGCCCACTCCCTTAATAACGACAATAACCAGAACAGACCTGATCTGAAGCCAGAAACCCGGAGCTTCTTCCAGGTCTCTCATATATGTGAAAGGGCAAAAAACCTAAGCCGTCTTTTATTGCTTTCCCAGGCCTTAGGCAGGGAGCTGGATCAAAAGTGGAGCAGCCAGGAAGCAGACCAGTGCCTACGCAGGACGCTGGTACTACAGGCAGATAACTCACAGACTAACTCACTATGCTAGCCCCAACAAGCTTTAGAATTCCTTCTTGTCAGTGAATTATACAGTGAATATAAGGGGAAAGTGATCCATATTATTATAACGTATTCCAAATGCTGAAGCAAATATTTTAATTTTACCAATTTTGTCCTTTAGTGACAATGGAAATCTGCTCTGTCTGCTGAGTTTCTTTCCCTCAACTGTTAAAAAGGCATATTGACCTGTTAGAATCATTTTTTATTGGGTGCCTTCCCATTGCTTTAAAGAAACTTGGGTTTTGGTGACATTTTCAAAACTGTATTATAATGGTATGCTTTGTAAATATAGTGTGACTCTCAGAAAAATGGTACAATGAGGATGCTTAGACTAAGTCGAAAGGCAAGTGTGTGTGTGTATGTGTGTGTGTGTGCGCGCGTGTGTGCTTTCACATTCCTTTTTCAATTGTTTTTAAGTGTATTTATAGAATTGGAGCAAACTTCATGTGTTTTGTATAAATAATTTCTAAGATGTATTTATTTTTACTGGAAAGTCAGATTTACAGGGAGGAGAGACAGACAGAAAGATCTTTCATCTGCTGGCTCACTCCCCAAATGGCTGCAGTGGGGCTGCAGTGGCCCAAGGCTTTAGCTCGTCCTCCACTGCTTTCCCAGGCCATAAGCAGAAAGCCGAATTGGAAGTGAAGCAGCCTGGACATGAACCAGTGTCCATTTGGGAGGCTGGTGCTTGCAAGTAGAGTATTAGCCAGTTGAGCCATCGCATCAGTCCATTATATATACAGTTTTAAGAGCATAATGGTACTCTGCACCCTATCTCATTCATGTCCACCCTCTTTTTCTTACTTTTAAATTTTATAATGACACACTTTGAAGTTTTTTTCAACACTAGCTTGAACCTTCACGAAATACAGAATTCCACAAGTAATAAGTAGAAAAACCACTGTTCCACAAAAATATAGATGATGGCCATAAACATATAAAGTTTGGGACTTTATATATTAGTTAATACAAATCAGGTAAAACATGGTATTTGTCTTTTGGGTACTGACTTGCTTCACTAAGCTTAATGATTTCCACTTGTGCTCATTTTGTTGCAAAAAAACAGGAATTCATTCTTTTTTTATGACTGACTGAAGTTGAAAAAAACTTCAAAGTGTGTCATTATAAAATTTAAAAGTAATTGTATTTTTATCCACTCATCAGTTAATGGGCATTTGGGTTGATTCTGTGTCTCAGTTACTTTGAGTTGAGCCGCTGTAAACATGGTGGTACAGATAACTTTTCCATATGCTGATTCAATTTCTTCTAGACAAATTCCCAGGAGTGGGATGGCTGAGTCATATGGTAGATCTATTTTCAGTTTTCTGAGGACTCTTCATACTGTCTTCCGTAATGGTTGTACTATTTTACATCCCCACCAACAATGGATTAGGGGCATTTTTCCCTAAAGACCAGCACTTGCTACTTTCTGATTTTGGGGTGATAACCATTCTGTCCTGGAGGAAGGGAACTTCCTGGTGACATACACTTGCATTTCCCTGATAGCTGGTGACCCCGAGCATTTTTTCATCTGTCTTCCAATATAATAAGAAAGTTAAGAAAGAGAACTTCTTGATTTAACATACTGGAGGTGGTACACTTGACTCTTGATTTTACTCTGCAACCGCAGAAATCTTTGCTCCTCTCCCATTAGACCCCACTAAACACTGGTTTTCGCTTTTCCCTAGTTTTTGCTTTCCAGTGCCTGATGCTGTTTAACTTCTCCTTATGAAGAGGCTATTTTGACATTTTAATGGAAGATGGAAGGCTGAATGACAAAGAAAAATGTGAATATTAAGTTACAAAATCCCAGGGAGACAGTTTTGCTTTGTTCTCTGCTTAGCTCCAGCAGGTACTTTGCTTGCCTGTGGATGTTAACTGCCCTGTTCACTCCTGTTTGGCCTGTCAGACCTCCTTTCTAGCACAGGAAACTCTGAATCTGTTGAAAATACTCTGCTCATTTATCAGGGGTCCAGGAGACCCTGATAAGTCTAAGGTTTCTAAGTCTCATTTTCTTGTTTAATAACTATATAGTAGTCCCTCCATTTCCCACATTGGGAAATGTTTCCAGATAATTAGCTAGTCATGTGTTCTAGACAAATCACAAAGTAGACTTCTTGGTATACCAGTTAAGTAAATGCACAAATGGACAATTAACCTGAAAGAGATTGATTGACTAATAGAAAATCCAGTTGAATGAGGAAAAGCAAGCTCATATACTTCCCTGCACTATATTAGCAGTTGTGAAAGCAAAGGTGGCATCTTCATGAAGAATACAGAATTATGAAAACACAGTTTAGTGACAAAATTATAAAACCAAATATTTTGGGGACAAAGAATGGAATGGAGGAAGGTAAGAAAGAGGGAAGGAAGCAAGGAAGGATAGAAAGAAAGAGGAAAAGTGGGGAGAAGGGGCAAGGGAAGCTATAAGTAAGATACATGGTTTGGTGCAATGAAACCACTGGTGTAACTGTAAGTTGCAGGAGTCACAGCTCAAACAGTTTGTATTAAGTATCAGATCTTCAATTGATACAAGTCTAATTAAATTCGATAGTATAATTCAGTTGCTTGGAAACTAAAAGTGCAAGCCCCATAGAGGAGACAGGTCCTGTCTTTTCAATATCTTTGAAGCTGGATATTGGTTCAGCTGTGTGTCACAATGGGAATCAACATTTACTGAAGCTTCATGTCTCCATAGGCCATGCTATAGACTTAATTTATATCATTCCATGTTTACAATTGCCTTATCAAGTTGATAATGTTATTGTGACCATTTTATATGTGAAGAAATTGAATTTGAAGGGTCAAACAATATCTTCTGTTTCATTATCAACTTTGGCATCAGTAGAGAGATGAAAGAAAGGTGATATTTAAGTAATAAAATGGCACATTATGCCTAAAAACTAATAGGGAAAATAGGGCTTGAATACACAATCAAATGGCCTTCTTACCCCACCCTGCCTCCACTACATCCTACGAGTGTGGCCACACACACACACATCACTTGTAAAGAGAAGCATCAGGCCTTCTCTTGCAAGACAAAATCTGTCCTGGTGATCGGATCTCAAAATTGAGAGAGAGTTGTTACCAGAAATTCGAAACCCCACAAAGGAGAGGACGACCGATCACCAAACAATGAGGACTGCCCCTCCAGACGAAGCACATATCCAAAGACAAGGAGTGGCCAGGAGAGTTAATTTCTTGTTCAGATCCTCCATGAAGGACTGTCACACCCAACTCCTCAACAACGACCACACAGTTGTTATATTATCGAGGTCTAGTACATTCACTGGGATATGGTAGATGTGGAAAATGTGCTTATTGTTCTGGTTATTGTCAAGTACCACATGCATGTTTCAAGAAGTCAGGTGATGGCCTGAAACAAACATCCCTAATGTTTTCTATTAGATCATCCTGAGGTGCAATCTCTCAAGCCCTAAGTGGTCCTAGAGTTGGGAATAATGACTTCTTTCTCTAAGTGATTTCTAGTTGACAGAAAATGTAAACTGCCTTAAGAATAGTATATTATAATCACTCTTCAAAGTAATGTTGCCATTCATCATTCTAAAATTGACTTAACCTGTTGTGCATTTTTTTCTAGTTTATGTCACGCACAAGAAATGTAGTGGGAAGAATAATGCAGAATTTTCAGACAACAAAGACACCAAGGCAGAACCCGAGTCATCATTTCAGCAGATGAATGGAGGATTTCAACCAGAGAAGTAGCTACCACATGGACAAAGAAACACCAAGCATGTTTAAGCTATAACTGTATTTAATGACTTGTTTTCATAGTATAGTTAGTAAGAAAATGTTAATGTAAAAATGTAATTTCTGTTGACTGCCAATATTTTGTTTTGGGGACAAAGTGACTGACGGTCAATTCCTTGATGATGAAAGCATTGTTTTCATATATATGTTCCACATATGTAGTCATCCATAGGGAATTGGGTCCCTCTTTTGGTATCGAGATCCACTGATGCTGAAGTCTCCTTCATAGCATTGTGCACAATTCACATATAACTTCCCATGCACTTTAAGTCATGTCTAGATTGCTTATGATGCATAATATAATGTAAGTACTATGTAAATATTTGGTGTACTTTATTGTTCATGGGGAAACTTACTCATTGTTTATACTTTTTCAAATGCTTTCAGTGCTTGGTTGGTTTTATCCACAGGTGCAGAACCTACAGCTGGGAGCGCCCGCTGTATTTACAAGGCCAATGTCAGTAAAATACAAGAGGTCTTCAAAACCTTCACTGGACATGCATAATATGAAACATTATGTATGAACTTTGAAATGTTTTACACCAAAATTAAATATCTTTCATTTAATCTTCCATACCTTTTTTGAAGTTGCCTTGTATTCTCAAAAACAGTGGGGAATCCCCAGCGCCTATAAAACTGTACTACGTAATACAATGTAAGCAACAATAAAAAAAAAAAAGAAAAAAAAGATATACTGATAATAATTATAATAAAATGATTGAATATAAAAAAAAAACAGTGCAGGATTAAACCTGATATGGGAATCTTATAATAGCTAGCCTGAATTTGCGGGCAGACTCTTACAACCAACCAACGAACACCTGGCTTTTTGTATATTAGAATGAATGTAATGAATTACTATGTAATCTAGACTTTTTCCAATAAATAATTGTAAAACATGAACACCAATGCCTTCCACTGGCATTTTACTCACTATTTTGAAAATGTTGCTCGTTATTTATTTAAATATAACTGTGGAAAAGCATGGTTAAAAACTGACTTCAATTTTAAAAAATCTTTATTTAGTGACAGCCCAAACAGAAAAGAATGAACAGTGTTATTGTTAAGAATTCAAAGACTAAATTGGAACCAGGTCCTTGACTCCTCAGAGTTGGGCATCACATTGGCCAAGGAAAAGCACAATTGCTTCAACAGTTTGAATTTTGCAAAGAGTTCTCTTCAATCCATGGAAAGGAACTTGCTCCAGATTTGCCTGTGTATAACATGTATGTTAAATGTCATGACTGTTTACACTTCTTAGGAATCATGAGCGGAGAAGTGGCCAGAGGCACAAAAACAGTAGAAGCATTGGGAGAAACATCAAGACTGCTGAATGAATTAATTCAGTAGTACATGATGGGACACCATAGAAAAGAATAAGCAACAAAAATCCAGTTGTAGTGTTTAACTGATGGTAATCACACTATAGTAAGAATCAACTCAAGGAGGAATCAAGAAGAGAGACTAAACAGTATTTAAAGGAGAGAATATATCTCAGAACCGAGGAGCAGCAAGCACATGCCAATTGAGCTCCACTGGTGCTGTGAGTATGTGTGACCAGCAGACGCCAAGAGAACGTGACCAGTAACAACAGGGCAGTCAGGTGTTGAACTTTCTGCTGTCTACCTTAATCTCCTTTTCCTCATTCTGCAGCTAAGTGCATGCATGTTTACAGCCCAGTCATTAGTAGCTCAGTTCCATTTTCTAACTGGATGTTTTCAACGTTTCATAGATTTCCTTTCAAATGTTTTGGCTCCAAAGGATTTTTGCATACAGATGATTTAATTTTAGACATTAATGATACAACTAAGCATTCCAGCAAGGAAAACTTCCAGTAGAGGGATGAGGGACTCAGTTTTTAAAAGTTGAAGTTATATATATACATATATATATATTTACAGCACATCCATAATTACAATTGAGTAAGTTCCCATATTTTCCTATCATTAGACACATACACTAGAGAGCACAAAGGATTTTTAAAAGGATTGAGGGGAAAGGAACAAGTTTTCTTTTTTGGAAATGTTAAAGAACATGCTTCCAGTGATGCAAAAAAAAAAAGGAAGTCTCTCAGACTATCTGCTTAGGAACCTATTTCTTCATCAAATAGAAAATACACAGGTGCAAAAAAGACACACTGGGAATTCATATCATAATCTCAGCACAGCCCAAATCAAGGACCAGGATGCCAGCAGCTGTAGCAGCAGGTTTTTCCTCCCTATTGATCAAGACACGTGAGACAGAGTTGGCTTTTGTACAAATGTGGTATGCTGTGTTTTTCCCTAATGTGCTAGAGGGAAGAAAAATAGCTGAGCCTTCTATAACGACAGCTCTCTATTTTTAAATGAGTTTGAAAATCTGATTAAATTATGTATTTTATTGCCTCTGTAGCATGTAAAATGAATATTTTAAAGAAAAATAAATGAAAATAATTTTTATACTCTTTAGTGGTTTTGTTCAATCCTAGATACATATAGAATTTCTCAGTTGTTAAATTATCATTGAATAGTGCCTAAAAGAAACTCTTAATTAAATACTCAAACAATCATGTCTCCTACTGATATTTATTAGGGTTTTCTGAGTAAAATCATAGAGGAGAAACATTAATCAAAATGTTAAATAGTGTAATGATAGTTTACTTAAATAAGCATATTTTAGGTACTTATAAATAAAACCAGCACCCTCTGTAAGAAAGTGAGGGGAGAAAAGAGGGAGACTTCAGATAGGGAAATCATTCACTAACATTCAAATCATTGTGACTTGGAAAGATTCAATTATTTTTAAAAGATTTATTTCTTTTCATTGGAAAGATATACAGTGAGAAGGAGACACAAAGAGAAAAATGCTCCATCTGCGGGTTCGTTCCCCGAGTGGCCACAAAGGCAAAAGCAGAGCTGATCCAAAGCCAGGAGCTTCCTCCAGGTCTCCTCTGCAGATGCAGGGTCCCAAGACTTGGGGCCATACTTAGCTGCCATCCCAGGCAACAGGCAGGGAGCTGGATGGGAAGTGGAGCAGCAGGGACAAGAACCGGTACCCATATGGGATCCTGGCACATGCAAGGTGAGGACATTAGCCAAGGGGTGCCCTGGCCCGCAGGGTCTTCAACAGAGACCTGGGGAGAGAACCGACGACTGGGAGGGACAGGAGATGCAAAGGAATGGGGGCAATACAGGAGGTCTGATCAAGCTCCAAAAACTATTTTCTCGGGCAGTATTTAAGCAGCAGGTAAGGGGTGGGGGGTTTCTACAGCAGGATGTGGGCCGGGCAGGGAGATATAGTACCATGACAACCTTATCTTGGCTGAACATTTACACAACTTATTTTGAGAATCTAGGTGAAAGGTTACTGGAACTTGTACAACAAGGCCATTACAAAATGAGGAAATAACAAAACGGAATCATTCATGTTGCTCGGCAGTTCTCTGGTCCCCGGCAACCGGTCCATCGCGAAGGAACCATGAGATTCAGTTTACCAACTCCATTTGACTTCTTGAGGCTATTACTCTGTTCTCCAACTAGGAATCCTTCACTTTCTTCCAAACGGAAACTGTTTATCTCCTTTAAAATAGGTGATAATGTATTATTTTTCAGGTCATCTCTTTAAAACCATGTATGTTTACAACAAGAGCCATTATACTGTGATGTGGCAGTCCTTAGTCACCCAAGCGCCGTGCAGACATGGATAGGAAGTCAGTTTCCATCCCTTCATTTTCCACATGCATATTTTCCCAAAACTGCCCTACCTCAAATGTCCAGAACTTGAATTGTCTTAAATTCCCCTCTTCTGCTTCATTGTGGTTGGTTGAGTTTCTGCCTTGAATCCCACCTTTGCTGTAGTAACTATGGTTCATTAGGCAGGATGGAAAAATGTTTGACACCAAGCAAAAAATTTTTGATTTTTGAGAGAAGTATCTTACCTTTACCAATTGTACACATATTTATTAAAAATCAGAAATTGAGTTTATTGGCGTATGAGGGGATATTTGGAACAGAGAAATATGCAACAGGAAGTATGAAGAGAATCAGTGTGAAACCAGCACTGCCACCCCCAGGTATTTACCTAGACACTGTCCCACACTGGAATGTGCTCCTGTGAACACAAACGCAAGAGCACTGGTTAGGACACTGGAAGAACACACATTGTTTTCCCCCTAAGAGATACCACACTATGGCAAATTCTGCATCTTATCTACTGCCTTGGAATTGGAACTCAGGGCCCAGCAAAATAGCTTAGCAGCTAAGTCCTCACCTTACACTCTCAGGGATCCCATATGGGAGCTAGTTCTAATCCCTGCGGCCCCGCTTCCCATCCAGCTCTCTGCTTGTGGCCTGGGAAAACAGTCAAAGAGGGCTCAAAGTCTTGGGACCCTACACACACAAGGGAGACCTGGAATAGGCTCCTGGCTCCTGGCTATGGATCAGCACAGCACCAGCCGTTGTGGCCACTTGGGGAGTAAATCATTGGACAGAAGATCTTCCTCTCTAAGAACTTCCTCTTTGTCTCTCCTTCTCTTTATATATCTGAATTCCCAATAAAAACAAAATAATTTTTTTAAAAAATAAAGAATTGGAGTGCAGATATGATCCTGCCAATACAAAGGGGCCCATATCAAGGTATGTTTTAGAATTGACATTTTAAGTTAGATATGTTTTTCTGATGAAAGGAACTCTGTTTTGGTTGACTTACTTGACAATGGCTCTTGTTTTTCTGATTAGAAGGCATTCAGACCGTTTTTAAACCAATCAGATGAGCACAATCCATATCTCCAAAGTTTAAGGCCTAATTGGAAAAAAATTATAAAAATAAATTATCTAAAATAAAGCTTTTTAATGAATTATTTATTTATTTTTATTTGAAAGATAGAGTTATAGAGAGAAAGGGAGAGAGAGATCTTTCATCTACTGATTTGCTCCCCAATGACTACAATGGCTGAAGCTGGGCCAATCTAAATCCAG